GCACAACATCAAATTTTGTTTTTAATATCAAGATTAGGAGGAAATATGTTTGTTCTCTCGTGAGTGCTATCCAATTCAATTAATATTCTGAAAAGATGTTCTGGGCTTGTCTCCCAGCTTCCCTTATGGTGAATATAGTAAAATATCAGAATATTCCATGACCTTACATTTTGTGTTCTTTATTCTTGACGATATGCTTTCCTTAGCATCGTATTGCCATAGTCCCAGTATATTGGGAACCATCAGACCAGCATGGGTGGAGGGTGCAGGAATCAGGCATTCATAATGTGAGCACAAGTAGACAACCTGCAGGAACTCTGCTCCAACACACCATTGAAAGTAGACTGCATCACAGCAGAATTCTTGTCAATCAGCATCATGCATATTGGATCAAATTCAAGATCCTTGTCCTCACTTTCAAGGCCATCCATGGCCTTGCCCCCTCCTACCTCTCTGACCTGCTGACTCCCTACCAACCTGCCCGCTCCCTCTGTTCAGCGGGCTCCGGTCTGCTCCATGTCTCCCACCCAAACCACCCTACCATCGGTGGCTGAGCTTTCAGCCTCTCTGCCCCCACACTCTGGAACTCCATCCCACTATCCCTTCGCCACACTTCCTTCCTTGCCTCCTTCAAGGCCGATCTCAAGACCCTCCTCTTCAATCGTGCCTTCGGTTGCCCTCCCACCTCTCTGCCTTCCCTCACCCCTAACCCACCCCTCCCCCATACTCGGGTCCTAACCCCTGACTGTCTAGCAGCTTGGGATGTCCTCCCAACTTGAAAGGCACTCTATAAATGTAATTTTGTTGTTGTTGTTGTTGATTGCCAGGCATTACTTATGACTTTGAATCACTATTTTCAACTTCTGTTACACATACTGAGTTTTAGACTTAGGAAGCTTAGAGACGAAACTAAAATGATCTGAATAAATGGTCAGGTGTTACTTCAGCAAATGTCTTCTTGTGAAATGAATTAGGAGCGTGGAGAATCTCAAGTGGTAGATTTCAATCCAGGTCAGATCAACAAGTAGATATGTAGGAATCTGGACTCGGATATTTAAATTGAATATAATACAATACTTTAGTTCAACTTAACTCAATGTATCTTCATTCTCATTTTGCTGAGTGACTATGGTGTAATAGTGTGATTACAACCTAAAACTTGGAGTTTGCCAAAAACAAAATTGAGCATTGTAGCCTTCTCTATGCCACCATTGGTGGCCATGTCTTTAGATCCCCTAACCTCTGGAATTCTCCCTCTATAACTCTATCATACTTTATGTCCCACCTCAAGACCTATCTTTTCAAATACGCTTACAGCCACCCTTCCGCTTCCCTCTTGCTTGGCGACCAACTCCATCCTGGGAAAGTTCTCCAAAATGACCCTACCTGAAGGACAGCATATAAATGCACACTCTTTTATTGTTGTAACTGTCTTAATTAGGTTACTAATTTTTAAAGCAATTCATTGATTCTTTGGTCGATGAAAATCAAAATGTGTAAAAACTTACGAGCGACTGATAATGGATGAAAATTGGAGGAAGGCATAAGAGAAAATGAGCCACAGGATGCAGATTGACTACAACAGAGGCCAACTAATTGGTAGATATAAATGGTCTTCCATAAGCACAGTCCGCAGCAGGGCAGAATTGCACATAAAGAGGTGAGTGCTTCTGCAGATTGAGCAGGTTGTCAGAGGGTTCCAGGATTGACTGGAACAGGAGAAAAGAAAGCAGTGTGAGAAATGCAAGGCACAATAGGTTGAGTACATCAGCTGGAAGAAAGGACAGAGGCAGTCACACAACAGAAGAAATGCAGAGTAATCTGAACTACAAGAAAGAGCACAATGGTGGCAGGGTACAGCAGGCAGAGTACAGTGTCCTGGGCCTGGATACAATAATCATGTATATAGAGGTTAAACAATACACAAGGGAATCGTTTTTTCCAAACAGAAATAATTGGAAAAATCAGTAAAGAGTTGTTTGAATTAGTCTATTCCTCAAAGAATGAGTTACTGATAAAAATCCATTTCATAACCTATGAAGGGATATAGCAATAGATAATTTATTGAGTAATTGTTTTATTCATTGACTAATTTATAAAGTAATTTGTTGATTCAATTAATTGCTGGAATAGTCTGAGGCATCCAGAAGTTAGTGGATTAGCAACTCCAGTGTTATTTTATGAAGTGGCTACTTCCGACAGCAGATAACTTATTTAGGGGATCAACAAATGAAACCCAATAAACAAAAGGAAAGCTTTGCATGTGATAGAATTATTCAGGGGGAAATTATTGCAGTGATTCACATGTTGACAAATTAATTGAAGACCGCAAGCTGGTCTAGATACTCAACTTTTATTGAAATGATTGCAACGCTAATTAATTGAAATAGAATAACATAAAAGCTGCACAGCTGAATGTGAATGGGGTGATTATCTAGATCTCTCTTCTAGTGTGATGTCAGTTGTTATTAACCCATGTGTTATGGCAAAATTTATTAAGGTAGACAAGGTATCAGATAACCGTCTGAAGAAAATGATTGTTCTCATCGCATTTGAAGCACTGTGTTGGCACCATTTGTGTCATAGTGAATACAGACAATGCAATTACACAGGCTACTTACACTACATGAAGGTGGCAAGGTCTATGCACAATTTTACAAATGTTATGCATCAAGTGCTGTAATAGAGGAAGTAATAGACTGCTGTATTTTCTAATGATTATAAGAAAAGTAAATAAAAGCTTTTCTTTGTCATTATACTGAAGAGCAAACCCACCCATTGGAAGAGCTTTTCTGAAATTGACTCTTTCACGATCGACATCGTCAAATAATCTAGCAGATCATAAGATGACCATGGATTGGACAGCTCCTCAAGAACAGCGGTTCATAGAATAACCAATGGATAAAGTCCCTGCACAGACAATAGGTTGAATGATGCATAAGTGAAAAGTAGGCTGTGGGCGTTATAGTTTGTGATAAGGTGCTATATCAAATTCAAGGATTATATTCAGTGGATCCAGAAACATGGTACAACAGACTCCAACCAGGAGAATTAAAAAAATGCCATAGTTCAAGAGAGTTCTGGAGAGGAAATGCTAAAGTATAGCACTGGTGCCAGAAGGTTACAGATGGCGGAGTGTAGCATGGGGTGCAGAGCAAATATGCTCACTACAGAGAAAAGGATTCCGGTGCCAAAGGCAGGCCAATAAATTATGTCAGCACAACTAATTCCACTGTATGACTTGAAAATGAAGAAAAATGGAGAAAGTAAGGATAATTCCTGTTGTGTACTGCTGGGTGTAACTAGGCCACATTGTTCTTAATATATTGAAGTTGTTACCTACAGTGTCGTTTACTTTGGTTTTATATTTCAGAAATTCACCTAAGAAAATACGATTCCCAACCACCATCAGTATTGTGGATGTATTTTATGTTGTTGCTGATGTCTGTTCCCTGATATGGATTTTAAAGTGACAGAAATTCTTAGTTGGATGTTCCATTGAGCGCTTTTAACCAGTGAAAGGAAAAGCTGTTACTCCAATAGTTCCACCTATAGTTGTTCATTATATCTCCCCATGCCACACATTATTTCTGACTGAGATTGTGGGCATGTGACGTATTTCAAGACTTTTACCAGTGTAACTCCAAACTAGTAGTTAGGACAACAACATATCATGGCACAGTGCTTTGGACTCTATTAAGTTACATTAAGGTGCACCATATTAAAATAACTACTAAAACTACGGCAGCTCTTTGGTTCTTATGGTCTCAAAGCTTTCTACTAGGAGCAATGGTTCATCCTGCTGGTTAGAGGATAGGATGGACTTGTCAGTGTCATCCTATGATTCATCAAGAGAGGTTCACAACTGCAGATGAGACATTCCTGCCACTTGCTCTCTCTCATTCCCCAAATGAATATAATGCAGTGCTCCATTTTTTAGTCTGGCCATAAGCTGCTGAAACTCACCCATTGAGGCCGGATGAATTAAAACATGGTGCAAGACTGTAATTCAAACTTGTGACCCTCTGGTTAGCTTACACATGAACAACAAGATAGAAAAATATATTTGTACTAAACAGAAATGTACATGGTCAACTATGCAGTAACAATGTTAATTTTACTCAAAGTCTCAAATAATAATAATAATATAGGATAAAATATGAAGTGCTTCATCAGGTGTTATCAAATTGAATGAATTATGAAATGCTGCAAATTTTACCTCCATTTCTTTAGCTGGCATTATTAAACGGTAGAATTGCACTACCATGCAGTGCTTCCAACCACCACATGTATGTAATGTCAATTACGAATACACAAATCCCATGCGAATAGAGACCCATAGAGCTCAGGGTTTACATTAGCTCCTGTTGCATTATGTAATACTGGAAAGCTCCACTGTTTGAGCTGTGTACATTTTATGCATTTATTTTATACTTTTGTCCCATTTATAGTGTATTTGGATCGATTCTTGTTTGGTTCCCTCTGTACTGCACATCATTCCTCACATAAAAGAGGCAAACCATCTACCCCCAGAAATTGGTCTGTGCCACCCTTTTGCTGACTGCATTACGATGATTAAGAGTACCTTGGGTGACTCCCCCACCCCGCCCACACACACACACACACACTTTTGTTTACATGTTAAAACAATGCTCTCACATATACGCATCAGTTAGCTGCTATCTTAGTATCAATAAATGAAAATGAAGCAGTTAAGACTATTAGCAGTGCTCTGATCCATTGCTTTAAGGGTGGCATTGAGCAAACAGCTGTTCACATGTTGTACTGTATGGTCAGAGAGAAATGCTGACTAGAAGCTGTCTGTTTATCTTTGCCATGGTCGCCAAAAACCCCCGGAGGCAGTGTCTCCAAATAAAGGAAACTTTTTAAGGGATTAATGTACTAGATTCTAGTCACACTAATGGGTTGGTCGGCATTACTTGCATTACATTTAGTAGTCACGTGATTCCACTTCCATCTCCATGCAAACTTGCTCTTACCTGCTAGGAACAAGTTCAGATATTCATTTCCTCCCAGACTGACAGAACCCAAAGAGCTAACGTAATAGCCTAGGCTCCCAGTGAACCACACCAGCCAAATAGTGATAGTCCTCTTGGCCATATTCCAGTCGCGGAAAAGATCTACGATACTGATTTTCTCTTCTTTGGTCACTGTTTCCTCCTTTGTTATCTCCTTGTCCATTGCATTCTCAGAACTATTCATCTGAGCCAGGGATAGCTGACAAGAGATGTCAACCTTATTCCACCGGGCAATCGTGGCCATCAATTTCTGGACTTCTTCGTGACGCCCTTTGGCCAGAAGCCACCAAGGGGTCTCAGGTAACAGCCAGCAACAGAAGATAAAAGGAATGGTCACAAGTGATAGTACAAGCTGGTAATACCTCCAGGCCCGAACTAAGTATCCAACCAGGGCTACTACCATAATGCCAGCAGCAAAGTAGGCATGGACATGCATAGATGCCCAAGTGCGAGCCTTCAGTCCAGTATATTCTGTCACATAGACAAAAACTACCACCAGGTAGCCACTAGAAACCTGTTTGAAACACAAAAAAGCCAAGTGTAAGAATTACAGCTGATAACAATATAGTAAAATATAGATTAAGAAATACCTGAAAGAATTACATCCTTTCCATTTATAATAATCCTTGCATTTGATATTGCACCTTATCACATTGTTGAGACGTCTCAATGCACTCTACAGAATATATTGTAAAATTAATTGACTGTGTGTTTTGTGGGTAAAACGTGGCAGCCAATTGCACACAGTAATGTCCCGCAAAAGTCGTGGATTAAGTGACCAAATTGTTTTGGAGGCATTATTACCCGCAGAAAGAGGTCTGGCAATGGACTAACAACTGGGTTCCTACTTACTGCTAGGTAAACAGAGGCGTGTGTTGTAAGCAAACTTGCCTAAGGTTTTGCCCTGCCCGGGTCCTTTCGCTTGAGAGGCGAGCACGCTAACCATTACGCTATGGGACTTCACTATAATATTACATTTAGGCATCTAAATATACAATTCCTACTTATTATTCTCATTTAATTATTGTACAGAAATTTAGGATTGGTATTCAAATGTACTTTACCTAGTCATCAACATAAGCGATATGATGCCAAGTTTCACTTAGTGTTCATATACTCTTTTTGTAGAGGCTCATTTTTTTACAACCTCCTTTTGTAGATGTATAAAATTATTAATTTCCATTTCTTCTAATTCTCCAAGTTATTTTCTCCTTACAGCCACAGCTCTTTCACCCCGTACTTCCTCCACCACACACCATTATCCACTCCAAATAGCCTAAGTCTCTGTTTCTTTGACTCTATTTTCTATCCTACAACCTGCATTCTCTCCTTCTGCTCAAAACCTTCCTGACCAGCTCAGCTCCAGGCTCCACAGTCTTGCTCCTCCCTACCTCTGTGACCTACGGAAACTATACCAACCTGCCCACACCCTCTGTTCGTCAGGCTTGTCTGCTCCATGTCCCCTGCCATGCCCGCCCCACCATCAACGGTTGGGCCTTGAGCCTCTTTGCCCCCACCCTTGAACAATCCTAGAATCCGTTCACCTCGTCCCTCCTTCAAGGCCCATCTCAAGACCTTCCTCTTTGACCGTGCCTTCAGCCACACTCCCATACCACTCCCATTGCCCTTAACTGTCCAGCACCTTGGGACGCGCTCCTGACATGAAAGGTACTATATAAATGTTGTTGTTGTTTTATTATATATTATTAGTGGGCATAATGTTTAATTTTCAAAGCAATTTTTGATGAAGGTATTTACCATCCAAAGAAGGGCATATATCCTCAGTTTTGTTCCCACTGTTGCTGGGTTTTCTTGCCCCCTGCCCTTTGCAACCTCCGCCAAAGGGCTTTTAAGACTAGAGGTGTGTGGAATTTCAACCTCAGAAAAATACCCCCGTCTGATTCCTTTCACCTTGTAAGAACATACTGGAATCTATCTTATGCTGATTGCTAATTATAGTGATCTTTTCGCTACGACGCTATAAATGGAAAATCCTTATATGAAGTCATACTGAAAAATGTGCTATTTTTAGAGATCAGCATAAAATAGACCCCAATGTAGCCTCTGCTTGATAGCTCCTACGAGACATGATTCAGATTGGGAGCTGAGTAGAGCAGAAGAATTGAACTCCATCCTCTCTCCTCTCATCTACAAACTTGTCCTCCAAAGCACAACATTATTCTGCTTAATATCTTTTTGACTTCCTGAAGTTCTAGTTGAGGGCAAGAAGTGAGAGGAGATGATGATTTGATTCATTGAAGTGGGTTTGCATCTAATTCCTGATGGCTTTATAATTGTTATTTTTGACTATTAAGCTGTGTGGAGGGAAATAATGGCTAATGCATATACAATGTTGTTCTTCTGCTTATTATGAATGCTCATTTAAGCCTGCAATAACCCAATTAGATCAAATTCATACAATCACAAATAAACCTGAAATTGTGCACTGTGCATTACAAAGAATTTGCTGCTCATCAGTAGTATATATAATCAAAGCTGGATCCATCGTTTAACTCAGGTGAGTATTTCATATTTAAAAAAAGGAAATGAAAGGTGCAGAGGATCAATACATACCAAGGCCAGGAGGAAACGGACAATGATGAAGCTGTAGTAATCCGAGGTGAACGCAACAGCTACTCCAAACACAAACTGAGCTGTGCTTGTAAACCATAGTATAGAGCGTCGACCAATTCTGGACAGGTTCAAACAAAATAAAAAGGACAAAAACGACAAATTGAAGCAGCTGATGAAACAAACCGCTTAGTAAAACTAAAACTATGCTGCTGTTCAGGTAACATATAGTTGTCCCCCCCAGAAAGGTTCACTGTTGTGTTTAATAAATGAAAATATTTTTTGTACTTACTATAGCACTTTTCAAGTCTGGATGCCACCTCAAAGCACTTCACAGAATGCACTGTAAAGTATAGGGACTGTATTTTGTAGGCAATTTGTACAATGCAATGTCCCACAAACAGCCATGAAATGAATGAGCAATAGTATGTGTGGAATTATTCACCAGGACACTGGGAGAAACTCATTTCTCTTTTTGAATAGTGCCATGGATCTTTCACGTCCACCTGAACAGGCAGACGGGACCTCAGTTTAACACTTTTTTAAAATTAAATTTCATTTTAAAAGTAGTTCAAGTTTAGGAATTTGTGAATAAAACCCAAATTATCCAAAATGAATGATTTTAGATTACAAATTCATTTGTTTTCATGCCTAATCAAACACAGACTTTCCCATTTATTATTCCATTAAATAACCTTTGATTTTCCATGTTTTTCAACTTGGATATACTGATGCTCGAAGATTTCACAATAGAATATTTTCAGTGAGACTATCTATTTTGTATTTAAAGGGAAGGAATGCAGGGCACTTTCTCAGGCTGCTATCAAAGAACTTTTATCTACAATTTACAACACCCAGAAGTGATTTATTATTAGTACCAAAGAGAAGAAAAAATGGTTAAATACTCTGCTCCTTGTACTGAATTCTACTAAGCGCTTGCAAAACTATCCAACTTGCTCTCAAGCCTGAACAAAAGCCATTCTGTAGCTGGTCATTAAGAGGAATGTGAGAATAGCACAGGGGTAAAAGACTGTCTGTTTACCTCTATTTAGGCTGCTTGTGGAGTCCTCTGCTGAGAACTAGAAGCCCCCATTACATATTGAGTAATACGTTTTGATTCATGCGGGCTTCAATTCAGACAAATGATTGTACTACCTGTTGGCCATAGCCAATCATCCCAACTATGCCAGCAACATTCTCTCCCCATACCATGCAAAGTGGCTGATGCTTTACACAGAACCACTCTTGAGGCAATTTAAAATAATAATAGGAAAGATAATTTGCAAGTGTAGATATATGCAATATGCATGCATACACATGGGCAAAAATGCAAACTCATCAACTTAAGTGTGGAGCTGGCCTACCCACGGCATCCGGTCCAAATCAAGCAGGTCTACTAATTCATCTATTAGACGATTCTAGCCCTAAATCGAGAGTGGTGTATAATTAAGGCAAAAGACTACTGAAATTTGTCACTTTAAAGATAGACTGTTTAAGAACTAGGAAAATCACACGATTGAAGTGGTGCAGTTACTCAGCACTACATCAGGTTGCAGCTCTTCCTGACTTTAATAATAATAAAAATAATCATTGCGTTTAGTATAGTATCTTTCACATTGGTGGAAATGTCATAAATTGCTTCATGGGATTTTACAGTAAAATTGAGTGACTATGTATTTCACAACATTTAAGAGGAAAATGTTCAGTTCTCAAATAATATCATGACCTATCTGAGCCCAAACACACAAAGAATTGTTTTTAATAAGTATCACATTTAGTTAACACAATGTCATTGCTTGGTAGAACTTCAACATACTGCTCTGTGAAAGAAAAATGACAATCCATGCATAGAATTCCTCACAGAGTGAGTTCCTGAACTTATCCTGCATTGTGCAGAGGCTAGTCACATCCCAACCAGGAGGGCAAACAATAATAATAATGCTTGCATTTTATATAGCACCTTTCACATCATCAAGAAGTCTCAAAACGCTTCACAGGATATACTTTAAACTATATTTTGACTGGGTATTTTGTGAGCGAAACGCAACAGCCTATTGCGCACAGCAATGTCCCACAAACAGCCATGGGTGAGTGAACAATTTGATTTGGGGGATTGTTGGCCAGGACACCAGAAGAAAGTCTCTTCTCATTTCGAAAAGAACCATGGGATTTTTAACATCTTCCCGAACAGAGAGACAGGACCTCGTTTTAACATTTCATCTGAAGGGCAGCACCTCCGACAATGCAGTGCACCCCCAACACTGCACTGGAGTGTAAGCTTAGACAATATGATTGCAAATACCAACATGTGTCTTGAACCCACACCTTCTGACTCAGAGGCGAGAGCACTACCTCTCCGCCAGACTGACACACAAAACACCAAATCGTATTCATGCATTTCAATAATAATGCTTGCATTTGCTATATCAAATACAAGCATGATTATTATTATTATGAGTTCCCCTCCTGGTTGGGATGTGACTAGCCTCTGCACAGTGCAGGATCAGTTCAGGAACTCACTCTGTGAGCAATTCTATGCATGGTTTGTGATTCCCTTCTCACCGAGCAGTGTGTTGAGGTTCTACCAAGCAGTGACATTGCATTACCTAAATGTAAAGCATCATTTATATAGCCCTGGCCATGGGTCTCCAGTCTGCCAGCATAGCTGGGGCAAGTGCATGTATGGTAGGAAAAATAAATTAGTCCCGTCTTCAAAAAAAAATCATGAAATAAAAATTGCCTCATAAAGTTACCAATAAAACTAATGGTGATTATTATATTCAATAATGCAAGAATTTCATTTCAATGTAGAAAATATTATAAATTTTAACTATATAATCCAATCAACAATAGAAAGAGCTACCTGTCTGCAATGTCCCCAAATATCACAGCCCCTAGCAGGACTCCAATCATGAAGATGGGCTGGGTGAGCTTTGCTAACCATTCCTTGTCACAGACCAAGTCCCATTCAGTCACAATGCTATTTTCCATGTGGGTCTGATCATATACAAAACCATCAGAACAGGAATGACGGGTCCTGTTTCCTTGAAACTCATTCACCAACTCAGAGGCTCCAATCCTTCGAAAGCGGCTGCACTGCTCAGTCTCCCAGATCTCTCCATTATCCAGCTGAGCAATGATGCCCCTCGACTCTGGGGTCCACAAGTCCCACAGCTTCTCTGGGCTGGCTGTGGTGTTGGAAATCAGGATATCGGTCACATTTCCAGGCAGCTTGCATAGGTGCTGCGGTGTTACAGCGAGAAAAACTGAGGCCAAATAGTGGATCCCGCAGGCTATAGTTTGAAAGTTGGCCACAAAATAAACGGCAGCTTGGAATCTGAAAAATTCAAAACCATTTATTGTGGCAAATGAAAGCAGTAATCAGGGCAATGTGCTTAATTAAGCCACCTTCATTCTCTCAATAGAAATTAAATAGTTTTTCCGATCAAAACTAGAAATGAAAGAGAACAAAAAACTATTTTCCTACTTCTCATCAATAAATACTACTTGTGACATACAGTTAGTTATATCTATTTAAAAATTCCAGATCAAAAATTGTAATTCTAAATGACACTCTGTAATAAGGTTACTATGTACAACTATTCAATTTTAGTACAAACTAACTAAGATCCCCCTAAATAATACAAGTATTTACCTTCCAAAGTGGCCAAGTTTGTCAAAGAGTCTTTCCAGGGTTTGTGGTGCCATTGGGATTAACGGTACTTGCTGCCCTGACTTTGCAGAAAGAGAGAAAGAGTGAGCAGTTTGTCAGAGCTGGAAATAACTCTTGAGATTTCGCATGAGGAAGAGGTAAGAAAAGACAAATGGGTGTGAAGCAGCTTAAGCTCCTCCCACAAACCAGGGAAATAAAACACACACACATTGCAGATTGGAGAGGTACATAGCCACACTTTTTCACTGAACAATTTATTTAAAAAAAACAAATTCAAATTATTCATTTACCAAGTTACCATCAGATATCTCTCACTAAAACTTTGCTCAAAGCTGTATTGATTTCCCCCGTTTCCCTCCTATTCGTGAACAGACTGAAATGTTGATTAATTCAGACACAGGTTGAGAATTTTGAAATTACATTTTTTCCCAGAGCACATTGCACTGCAGCATTCATATTTCAAATGTATTGCACATTGGATAGATTCTTCCCCAAATTTGGTTTACTTACCATACATTTTACACTGGCACTTCAGGATCCCCATCACATTTTGAAATCACGAACCTGATCAGAAAGCTGTATGATAGTCAATGGAAAAAGATTACTGTTCTATTCATTGCTTTAGTATATTACTATGGGCTTGTATGTTCTGCTATGGTATAGAATTGTATGTTCGGCTACAGTACAATTCCAGGCAGGGCGAAATCTTGGGCAAGTTTCCTTACTCCACACGGAGCCTAATAATAATCCCTCCAAAAACCCCAAACAATAATTAAATTGGTCATTTTCAATCTACGACTGTTTGTGGGACATTGCTGTGCGCAATTGGCTGCCGCGTTCACCCACAAATATACAGTCAATTCACTTTACAGTGTGTTCTGTGAAGCGCTTTGGAACGTCCTCCCGACGTGAAAAGCGCTATATCAAATGCAAGGATTATTATTATTACAGAAGCAGCTATGGGCTCATTTGTGTTCCTCAAAAAAATAAACGTTTTGTCAATCTAAGGTTTGAAAACGTTTTGTTTTTTTAACCCCTAGCCTACTTTTTCATTAGTTGTAAAGGCCAGAGACCTAGCTGTCTGTAAATATTTGAATTAGGAATATAAAAAGGACACTGAGTGATACGTGAAACAAATCAGTGATTCACAACAATTTATTCTTACAGCACAAGCTAAACCAAAACCAACGAAACCATTTTTCCTAATCGTTTTAAACACCTAAACAGAAATAGATCTGAATGTCAGCAATCACTTCATTTCCTGTAAGCGATCACATTCTTTGAGAAGCAGGACCTTCAATGCATATTCCTGTTTACTTTGTAAAAAAAAATTCCATATTGAATGTTAGGAGAATTCAAACTTTGCATGACTCCTCAACAACTTGCTAGAAATTCACTAAGTTGAGCATTACCTTTGAGGCATAAATTTTGTTGGAGAATACAGGAAGACCATCAGTTCTGTCAAGCGCTTGCATCAGTCCACAGTAGCTAATTATTTCTGCTGGCTTGCGCTCCTACAGAGAGAGCTGGTTATTGTTGGACACAGTGGGTAATTCAGTATTGCAGCTCTCTTCCATTGCGGCTTTGTCAGAATGACTTTCTAGAAGGCTTCTAGTGAGAAATACAAAGAAGGTTCCTCTCACAGGTACTACAATTGTTTTTAAACAAAAAGATTCAGGGAGAACACCCTATATTGTCCACCCGCTCTGTGATCAGAGTACACTTTGATAGATGAGTGCATCTTATTCCACTATTGATCCCCTTCCGCTGTAATTTATCTAATTACTTAAAACATCACCATTATGTGAGCATGTCAGAGTACACAGAGAATAAATCTGTATTTATTACTAATTTAAATGGACTGGAGGCCTTCAATTGAAGTTAATTAGCAAAGGAAGAGATTTGGAGGATTTTACTTTACAGAGATTTGTTAGAATGTGGTAGGTGTCATCAGCGAGGCAAAATCCATATTTCAAGAGGGAACTGGATAGATATCTAAAAAGGAGTAATTTACAGGGATACGGAGAAAAGTCAGGTAAATGGGCATGAATGGATTGCTCTTTCTTAGAGCTAGCACAGCTACAATAGGCCAAATGGTCTTCTTCTGTGCTATAAACTTTTTTGATTCTATGGAATGAATGCCTGTAGGGGGTAAAAGGAATTGTTTTTGACAAAGGCGTTATAAGCCCCCCACTGAGAAATCCCAGGGATAAAAACGAGTCTATACTGCTTCCTACTGCAAAAATACGTCTTAAACACTTTTATTCAGAATCACATTTCTATTTTACAAAAAGTACATTTTTGGTCATTCTACAAATGGTAGTTTGACCGCTTTCACTTATGTACACTGACCTCTGATTGTTTGCACTGTTGGCATATAGCAGCAAATTGCAACGTGTTTAAAAGTATCAGGTTTTCTCCAGTAATGTTTTCCAAGGATTCCTAAGTGGAGAGTGATGTTTGTGAAATGAATACAGCATATAGTGTGCTGGAACTTCAAGGTTAAGAAACTGTTCTAATCTGTAACTTTTTTTTGTAACAGGTGAGTAATGTGTTCTCTCACACTCTTCCTTTGACTCTGTCTGAGGTCAAAGCCACAATGATCTTGATTTGTTATAGTCCTGTGATCACGGAGTTGTTTCTCTTCGACATCTGTTTCAATGTTGCCATTTTTTCAATTCTTTTGGGATTTTCTGTGTTTTTCTCTGATTTATAGCTGTCAAATTATTTAAATAATAACAAAATATTTCAAGAACTTATGAAGCAATTTCACTTGTTGCAGGCGACACTGGTAAGAACTCTACCATTTGGACGTGGATTCTGCTGCTTGGACCCCTCTCACCCTACTATGGCTGGGTCTCCTGGTGAGAACCTTTTACAATATTAAATGATAACCTCCCTGTAATCCTTCCAGTTTATTGAATATTACCTACAAAATTAATTTAATTACAACACAATTCAAATTTACATTTATATAGTGCCTTTCATGTCAGGAGGACGTGCCAAGTTGCTTGACAAAAAGGCTTGGCACCCAGGCTGGGAATGGGGAGGGGAAAGATGACCGAAGATACGGTCAAAGAGGAAGACCTTGAGAGGTGAGAGAGAGAGGCAAGTCAGAGGGACTCCGGGTTGGAGGTCCAGAGAGTGAGGCAGATAAGCTGAAAGCCTGACCACCGATGGTAGGGTGGGGGACATGAAGCAGGTTGTTGCCTGTTGAGTGAAGCAGGCAGCCAGGTTGGTATGATGAGGTTTGATGAGGTCTTAGAGGTAGGGTGGGGCAAGACTGTGGTAGGATTTGAAGGACCTTAAGTGAATTGAACACTGCAAAAGGCTATATGCAGAGCTCTTCCTTCTGGAAACTCTGGACAAGTGGGAATACATTCACTGAATTTAGAAAGTAGTAATTAAAATAATTATCATTACATAAAATGATTACACATGATCAAACAAAAGTATGTTACAAGATACAGTATACTGAATGCAGCTAAATGACTAAGAAAATTGGAATGCACGTGTACATTGCATGCTCAAAAATGCATGATAAATTTTGACTCAAATTTCTAAATATGATAAAGTATTCGACTAATAGTTTGAATAAATTCAAACATTCAATGAGGTAAAGTTTGTGATGTTTTAAGCTTGTTACTTTCTGTTAGTGTCATTTTTTTGGTCAGCTGGGTGTCTGACAGAAACTGATCACCATATCTTAAGACTATCCAAACCAAACTGAGAATTTCATGCAGCCCACCTACATATGGAAATCTCAGAGATAAATTATTGGAACAGAATGTGCGCTCTCTCCCTGGAGGGACACATCCTGTTTACCTAATTCTGGAAAGTACTAGGTGCAGGTTGGCAAGACCCAAGCCTTTGAAAAAAATGTTTCCTGGCTAGAGAGAGCTTGGAATTTTGATCCACCTTGACAGCTCAATCATGAAAAACAATTACTCAAGAAACAAAACAGGTAAATTCTAGCCTCCAGGCTAGATTTTACACTGAGACTCATCGTACCTCAAGAGAGAATGAAAGATGGCAGTGATCCAGGTTTGAAAGAAGGGAGTGTTGCCCTGACATCTAGTAAAATAACACAAAGTTAGACTTTAAACATCATAAACATTACTCCTATCTGTCAGGAGCATCAAGACATGTCTGCACCATTTTCGCACAGTCCCTCATAATAGAGATCACCAATACAACTACTACTGGAGCATTCACCACCAGCACTAGCACAGGGGAAATTGTGCCACCTTATGAGCCCTCACTGCTCAATAAAAATTAAGAGGAAAGAAATGGAGATCATCCAATTGTATTTCACAGGTGACATAAAGGTGGAATACACCAGAAGTCATGATACAGAAATCAATGGCAATGCCTTCTGAGTAAGAGCACCAGGAGATGATGAAAATAGGCTTAACAGACCTACAAACATGCAATGGAGCACACCATGCAGAAACTGCATATTAATATGCAAAATGCATTGGTCTGATGTGTGACTCAAGTCCTGTCTACAGCAGATTGTTATCTGACACCACAGTACCAGTTTTTAATCTGAGTTCATACAAGGTAAAACTCCTCCTAGTGATGGATTGCCAACTGCACTGATACATGCTAGCAAAAACATCGGAGCTGTGACATTAACAATGTCAGGGACACAGTGAGCAGAGATAAGACATTGGATAATACTATACTTGGAATTCCGCTCTCCAGGTGGGTCTTTCAGAAACTAGGAATGTTACCTAGTTACCTAGATTGATCTCTGATCAGTATCAGTCAGTTAAATCTGCAGAACACATTTAAGCACAGTTTAAGATAAGAAAAGATTCTCTGGTCACCATACTATTTGTTGCTAAAACCTCAATGAGTGATATAGCGATATGTTGCCAAAGGCCCTCAATTAACAGAGTCAGAGCTAATATTCAATGGCACCAAAACCACTTTAGACCCATTGCAGAAGCATTTGCAGTCTTCCTCCAGCAACAGTGGGGTTAACCACTTAGATCATGCGAGGTTCACAGCTACGAATGCACGAAGAAACAGTTCTAACACAGGACAGGAAAGAGACAAAGCCACAAACTATCAACATTAAGAATAACAAAGTAAAACTACAAAGTATTATACTAAGCAACTACACACACCTATACAAATAAATTGTCATTAATTTTGGCGTTGGCATTTTTTATCATATTGGCTAGCAATCAACAATATACATCCAGGAGGACATCTCAAAGCTCTTCGCACAGCTGGTTGGGAGGCGTGTTGGAGGGGGAATGATCAAACGTGTGGTCAAAAAAATGGGTATGGAAGGAAAGAGGATTCTGGGATGGAGTACCAGAGAGAGTTCCACCACCATCAGTGAAGAAACTGAAATGCTATATTCCTATAACTATGCTATTTACTGCTTAAATGCTTGGTAAATTTCCAGTTGAATAATGTGACATCGGATAAACCCATCATTGGGTATTACTGTAATACAATTTTTTTTCCAAGTAAAAAAAAGTTCCAAATTTTAATCATTTATGTTTGCAATGATTGCTGAATGCTCGATTGTGCCCTTTGCAAGCAGCCCTCTTTAATAGACCTATGATTTGTAGTCTCTTTTGTAATCTACTCACTGCTGCCATGTCTCTTCTTGGTTCAGCTTGGTTCATCCTCAGTCCTCTTCTTCTGTAACCGATTTAACCATCCATTCTTTTATTTCAATTCATATAGTAATAATGCTGTTCATTACTGCAATGTTAAGCCTTAAGAATGCTGCTATGTACTTTCAATGTGATCTTTCTCTGGGTGCTGCTGTAGGGTAATTTTTGAGACAATATTTGAGGCAATACTTAATGCTGTCTTTCAATTTCCACTTATATTTGTTTTTAAACTGAGGTTGGAAGTAACCTGGGGGCAATTTCTGTGTAGAAGGCATTTATCATCACAAGATTCTGTTCCAGTAACATCAAGAGTGGGCTATCATTCTCACATTCCACCATTACCATTCAGGAAACAACTACGGCAAAATTTCATGACACGCTGTTGAGTTATATAAAACTGTCCATTTCCAAGCTGCATCTGATCATTAAAGTATAATGAGTGAGACTGAGAGACAGCTGTTAGGAATTGAGGGGTAAACCAATAAAGCTTCCTCTTTAAAAACATTCAGACAACTGTGTTGAATTTGGTCTAGATTGAACTAATTTTGTAGACTATTCCAAATCAAACACAATATCATATATATGAGCTTGACCTCTTTATTGAAAATTGCAGTACAACAAAACTAATCTCAATCATAGTATATTCTGTTGCTAGGCCATGTAACTGAAAATAAGGAACTTCTTAAATCCACCAGGCAGAATGTCTTGCGACCACCCAATAGATCAAGTCTCCTGGTCCTTAGTCCTGAAGAAGGTAAACACACTTTCCTCCTGTAATCAGATGAAAGAGAACCAGTTCAAGATTGTTGACAGAAATCATTTGCCCTGCTCCCTTTGGTTGAATAAGATCTTTCACAAGCATCATGAATATTTTGTCAAGATGTGAAGTTGAAATGAAGCCAAGCATGTTTTCATTACTACGAGAAAGTTTTTTTTCTGTTAGAATTGAATCATTCATCCGCTGCCTACTATAATTAGTCTAATGATGGAAGCATACCATGAGCTGTACATCCTCAGTATATTAAAGGAATGCAGTGCAGGGTGTGTGTTGTATTGTTGGAGGTGTCGTCCTTCAGATGCGATGTTGAACCGAGGTTCCATCTGCCTGTTCAGATGAATGTTAAAGATCCCATGGCACTCTTTGAATGGAGAAAGGAGTTTCTCCTTGTATCCCCCAAATGAAAATGAATTGGTCATTCATTCCATGGCTGTTTGTGGACCATTTCTGTGCGCAAACTGTCTGCCACATTTCGCACACAAAAATACACAAGTCAAAACCACTTTTGAGACATGATATATGTCACGTGATATTTTTGCTATTACACTGGCTCCACATCCCCCACAGCAGTGGTGGCCAACCTTTTTGGTCGGCCAACAAAATAAATTTTCTTGATTCAATATTTCCTGATTGGTGCCATCACTGCCCCAGAGGATTGACTTCAAGATCCTTATCCTCACTTTTAAATCCCTTCAGTCTTGCCCCACCATACCCCTGTAACCTTCTAAAACCCTACCAACCCGTCTGCTCCCTCTCCTCAACAGGTACTGGCCTGCTTCACATCCTCTCGGCTGCCACTCTCTGGAACTTCTCCCTCGACTCGCCCCTTCCATTGCATCCTTCAATGCATGTCTCAAGACCTTCCCATTTGACCACTCTATAGCCATCTTCCCACCCCCTTGGTCTCCACCCCTCTTGAATCTAATCCCCATCTTGGGTGCAAACCCTAGACTGTCCAGCGACTTGGGATGTCCTCCCAACACGATAGATGCTATATAAATGCAATTTATTGTTGTTGTGATAAGCCACTATATTAATGTATTATTATATGCATATCAATAACACCATGTATCATGAAAACATTGAGGTTTTGCACAAGACTAATATTAGGAAAGCACATTTTGGATAACATGCAGGTTTCTCTACCCTTCCACCCTGACTTCTTGCAGATCACAAAGTTAATCTTGGGACAAGGAATAGTCAGGATATGACAGTACAGTGATGGTTAAGTTGCTCATGTCCTGAATGCATTCAAGTTGGAGCTGAATTACACTTGCTCAAGTTCTTGCTCACGGCTTAGCTTCGCACTTCTTAGTATTATTTTTATATAATGCAATTATGGCCTTTCAGAAACAAGGCTATTGTTATGCTCTTGTAGCCATGATCACAAGATTGGTTTCGATGAATAAGAGCCTTCAGCCCATTCAATTTAATTATTCCAGAATACCCAGCCTTCCATCTTCCCATCACAACATCAAGCTTTTTTTAAATGCAAATGCAGAATGTGTGTTAATGCTTTTTTTTTGTCTCCACTAACCATACTTTGTTTAAATCCACCTCACTCCTGCTGTTCCATTAAGAAAAGGCCTTTTTATATTTTGCCTCTTTATTATAATCTGTACCAAAAAAAGCTGCTGCTTCTGTTATCCCATATAGAAACATAAATGTGAAAGGCTCTATACAAATGTAATTTTGTAGTGTAGTAACTGATTATAGAATTGCACAGTAAACAAACAAATTTTAATTTGTTGTTTTAGAGACCAAAATGGGCAGGTTTATAATGTGCATTTGCATTTCATATATTTTCAACCTATTCAAATATGGTGGCAAAGCAAAAACAGTTTGTCAATAAACCGTTTACGTAAGGAAGCTCTCAGAGTTGCTACCCTGTGTGAGAGGCACTGTGGTAAATGCAAGTTGGCATTGTTGTTGTTCTGTAAACCCATGAATACTTGCACAATGTGAAAGAAAAATGTTAGAAACTGGGGAAGGTTAGTGTTATTGAACTCACATTGCCCTAAATAAAAATCCTCCCCTTTATCATTATTTGAGTGTTTACCGAACAAGAAGTTGTGTAATCCTGTTGACAGAATGCAATTCAGCTATTCAATGGATCCAAGGTCACTTTTGTAGAGCACAGATAATTATTGCCCTTCTGACTATGTTTTTTTTTGAATATTTTACCCTCCAAGTCCCAACTACATTTATAGTTTTTCGCTCTAGGAGGATATCTCCCAAGCATTTCACACAGCTGACTGGGATGGTAAGCTGGGGCTGGGAGGAGCTGTGGTAAGTGTTGGAAAAGTGACCAAAAGCAATGTCAAAAATGATAGGGTCTTAAGGCAGACTCTAAAGATGGGGAGGGAGGGGGCAAGGTAGAGACTCCAGGATGGAGTACCAGAAAGCAGGGACAGAATGGCTAAAAGCGAGCCCACTGATGGTGGGATGGATTACTGAGGGCCATTATAGCAGGCCAGTCTTCAATGAGCAGAGGATTTACAGATATGTAGATAGAAATATACAACTATATCTTCACAACACTGTAAAGATTTTACCCTAAACAAGTGTTACTTGTTGATTCCAAATTTTTTTTAAAAAAACAGCGTGAAAATCATTTTGAAATTAGTTTATAACAATGCACACACTATCTATTGGAATATAGATTTGTTTGGTCAACTGATCTAAAATAGCGTTTTCCCAGATTTGATCCAACCTGATACCTTACTAAGACCACGACAATGTCTTTTTTTAATGTAGTTAAAAACTTAACATGAAATGGCAAGAAGTTATTTAGTAGATGGGAGCCTCCAACACCCAAAAGATGATAATTAATTGACATTGTTGACACTGAGTTCACTAAGGGAACTAGTCCCATTAACTATAGTCAACACTAAACTGTATATAGCCCAATACATTGCATCCAATAGAATAATCATAATAATCCTGGCATTTGATATTGCGCCTTATCATCAAAACATCTCAAACCACTTAAGAGAATAGTGCAAAGTGAATTGACTGTACATTTTGTGGATGAAACACAGCAGCCAATTGTGCACAACAGTCCTACAAACAGTCATAGATTGAGTGAACAAATTCTTCTTATTTTTTGAAGGATTATTACCCCCGGAAAGCAATCCGCCAATCAACTAACAATCGGGTTCCTACTTACTGTTAGGTAAACAAAGGCGTGTGGAGTAAGGAAACTTGCCTAAGATTTCACCCTGCCCAGGTCCTCTCGCTTGCAAGGAGAGTACTCTAACCACTATAAATAATAATAAATAATAATCCTTGCATTTGATATAGCGCTTTTCACGTCGGGAGGACGTCCCAAAGCGCTTCACAGAACACACTGTAAAGTGAATTGACTGTATATTTGTGGGCGAACGCGGCAGCCAATTGCGCACAGCAATGTCCCGCAAACAGTTGTAGATTGAAAATGACCAATTTATTATTATTTTTGGTTTTGGAGGGATTATTATTAGGCGTGTGGAGTAAGGAAACTTGCCCAAGGTTTCGCCCTGCCTGGTCTCTCGCTTGCAAAGCAAGTGCTCTAACCACTGAGCTACAGGACTCAACTATACTAGAGGACTTCAAGAGTAGTCAATGCCAATGCAATGTAGTAAACTAATATCTGTCTTTCCTGATCAAGAGTTAGTTTGGTAGTCATGGAGGCAGAGCTATTTGCCCTTACTTCTCTATTACCTATATAGTAACTACTCTCTGGTCAAGGAAACAACATGACATGAAAGGCGCTATATAAATGCAATTTGTTATTTGTTATTGTTAAATACATATATAGTCCAGCTCCATTAAGATAAAGTAACTCTCTGAAAATGTAAAGTCCCAAGGTCGATCTGGATGAAGAAGGCCCTTTGGCCCATAGGAACTCATCCCTCCAGAACCCCCACCCTACCTTCCCTCCATTACTGCATCAAGTTACTTTTTAAATGAGTCCAGTGTCCTGGCTTCTACACTCTTCCTGGATCAGCATGTACTTTCATCCTTTCTTTTAATTGGC